ATATATATAATATATATAATATATATATATTATATATGTATTAATTTCTAAAGTATTATTATATATATAAAAATAATAATATTTAATATTTATAAAAAAAGTATATTTTGCATAAAATATTTTCAAAAGAAAAAATGAAATAAAAAATCAGAAATGAAATATATTTACATTATTTTTTCTAGTTTTCTAAATAATAGTATATATATATATATTTATGTATAAATGTCCATATAAACAAATAAATACTTAAAAAATGTAAAATGGTGTAAAAAATATTTTTCATGTTTTAATATTATTAACAAAAATAAATAAGCCAAAATGAAAAAAAGAAAAATCAAAAATCATGAAAATAAACATAATGGGCTCAGGGGGTATGAAATCAGAAATATGGTGTGAAAAGAAAATCAGAAGCAAGCCCAGCCCATGAAGCTTCTTCTTCAACCTCTGAACAAAACGTTCAAAAAACGTGCGCCTGTACTTCCAATTCAAACACCTGGATTCTTGATCTTTTGCACAAACTTCCAACATAAGAAATGTTAAGCATTGAATCACGATTCTAAATATATAAAAAACTCATCCTAACTCTCAGAAATGAGAGAGAATTTTGACATTCCCAAATCCTGACCTAAGTTTTCTGCCATATTCAAACTTAAATTCTCACAGCTCGAGCAAAATAAATGAAAAGTAAAAGCATGTACAGATTCAGGGGGCATGAGTAGAACACTTCTTATTCACAAACTTAGAGCTAATGATGCCTAGACTAAGAGTTAGAAGTTCAAGAAAATACATGTTCAGTTGAAGTTCTATCTGGCAATGGGGGAGCTTTCAGAGCAAGATGATGATCTGTACAGCTTGCCTGAAGTGTGGTGATGCTATTCCAATGCTTACTTTGCCTTGAGACACCTTGAATCGAGCTATGGACCTTCAACTGCAAAATAAGAAATTGAAAATGGTGGAACTGGTTAGAGGAATTACAGGTCGTGTTTTAGGTTTTGGTTAGCTTGCATTGATGCTAGGGAATGTGTTTGATGAGCTTTGGGCAAGAAATCATGCAAGGGATGAGAGATGGTGTTCAATCTGCAGGCCTTGCCCTGTTTTTGCAGTTTGAGAGTGATTCTGGGAATGGGAGTGTTTGGGACCTTGTTTGCTCGTGTTCTAGCTTGGGTTGGATGATTAGAAGGTGTATACAATGTTTGCTTCAGTGTTCTAATGCTCAGATCAAAGTTATGTTATGTTATGCCACTTTTCTTCACACTTAAGCAAGCAAAGCCAAGTTGATGTTCTAGGCAAGTAGAGGCCCCCTAAACATGCTGCTAACCTTGTCTTGATCAGAGTGTTATGCTCATAATCTTGTGCCAATTAGATTTGATCTGTACTTCTTGGATTTGCATTATGACATAAAGCTTGCTTTTGCAAAAATGGAAGAAATGCTTTATCTATTTTGGGATTAATCCATCATGCAATGCTTGAACACATAGAACATGGTCTTGGCACAATGAATATGCATTAAATTATTGAGTGTTGGATGGTTTAAGGGCCTGTAATGTAGCACAAACTAAGCTGACTTGAAAATGGCATAAGTTATGAACATGTACATGACCAATTCAAAAGTGAGTTTTTGCCATATTGTGAAATTCGATTCTCTCAAGTTATGAGGTTGTTTTATGATTTCTTGGACATTTTGGAAAGCTTGGAATGTGTACTACCATCCATCTTTGAAATGCAAATTGAAATTCCAAGTGTAAGTGTATGGAAAATGGCCTTGAAGTTAGGTAGAAAACCTTGCCAAAATAGGTTAAAATTTCACTAAGTTAAGAATGGTTTAGTACCCTTATTCCAAAAATTGTAACTTGAGATACAAGCCTCTTTTGGAAAACTTTGTGAATCAAAGTTGTAGATTATGCAACAAGCTACAACTTTCATGTTTTGACTTTTGTTTGAATCCAAATGAATCTTGGTGAGAAAGTGGGGCAAACTTGGGAAAAAATTAGGGTTTTTCATAACTTAGAAAAATTCTAAGTTATAAAAAATTCTCATTTCAAACCCTAATTTGCAAATTTTGATTTCTTGGTGAACAAGTTTCATGATTTGTCATGTTTTGATGAAAAATGAATCTTGACTCTTGATTTTGACCAATAGGTCAAAGTTGACTTTTCAGTATACAGTCAAAATTGATCAATTGACTGAGAAATTCAACTGTCAATCTTGTGTACTTGGGACCTTTTGAACTTGTTGAGCATGTCAAGATAATTCCATGGGGTCCTTGAGTCCATATGGGAGCTTGGTTTGCCATTGGCTAGTTCAAACAGTCAAAAATTGCCTTTGTGCAGTCAAAACCCTAAAAATGACCATTTTGCCCTTTTGGTGATCTGATCAAATTTCTTGTGGAATTGTGATCCAAACTTGATCAAATGGTCCATGTGAGTTCATAATGTTGATGTGGGTCAATTTTCATGAGATTTGACTGTCAATTGGCCACAGTTGACTTTTTCCCCAATACAGTTGATTTCTAGGTCAACTGTCCAATTGACTGGGCAAAACTTGGAATCAAGACTTGAAACTTGATATGGATAAACTTGGGAGTCCAATATGAAGCAAGAAAGTCATCTTAGGCATTTTAGGTCAAAACATCTTTGTGCAAACACAAACCCTAATTTGGGTCAACAGTGCAAGGAGAAGTCTTGAGCAGATGAAACCCTAACTGGATCTTGATCTTCAAAGGTTTTGTGGTGAGAAATCAATGAGAAATGGGAGGGCAAATTTTGGGGTACAACAGATACTGATATTGTGGTTCACCGATTGCCTACCAAGGAAGACTGTCCTCCAGTAAAACATAAAGTCCACCGAATACGCCCAGAGATATCTGAGAAAATCAAGGCTGAAGTTATAAAGCAGTTTGATGCCGATTTTCTAGCAGTTACTTCTTACTCGCAGTGGGTAGCCAAGGTGGTTCCTATGCCGAAGAAGGATGGTAAATTTCGAATGTGTGTTAACTATAGGGATCTGAACAAGGCAAGCCCCAAGGATGATTTCCCTCTTCCTCATATCGACGTTCTGGTTGACAACACCGCACAACATAAAGTCTTCTCATTTATGGATGGTTTCTCTGGTTATAATCAGATTAAAGTGGCTCCCGAAGACATGGAGAAGACGACCTTTGTTACTCAATGGGGTACCTTTTGCTACAAGGTCATGCCTTTCGGATTGAAAAATGCTGGGGCAACGTATCAGCGCGCCATGGTCGCCTTGTTCCACGACATGATCCATCATGAGATTGAGGTATACGTTGACGACATGATTGTAAGATCCCAGACTGAAGAGGAACATCTTGACCACCTTCAGAAGTTGTTTGACAGGTTGAAGTTGTACAAGCTGAGGTTAAACCCGAACAAGTGCACCTTCGGGGTGAGATCTGGTAAGCTGCTGGGTTTCTTTGTAAGTGATAAAGGTATTCAAGTGGATCCTACAAAGGTGAAGGCTATATAGGAAATGCCATCTCCCTGAACTGAAAAAGAAGTCAGAGGATTTCTGGGACGTCTGAACTATATTGCCCGATTCATCTCGCACCTGACTGCTACTTGTGAGCCAATCTTCAAACTACTGAAGAAAGATCAAGTGGTAAGATGGAATGATGAATGTCAGGCCTCTTTCGAAAGGATTAAAGAATATCTCCAAGAGCCTCCTATTCTGATGCCTCCAGTTGAAGGGAGACCTTTGATCTTATACTTGACAGTACTCGACAATTCAATGGGGTGCGTGCTGGGGCAACATGATGAGTCTGGCCGAAAAGAGCATGCTATTTATTACCTTAGCAAAAAGTTTACCGACTACGAGACCCGATACTCGTTGCTCGAGAAAACTTGTTGCGCTTTGGCATGGGCTGCTCGCCGGCTGACATAGTATATGCTGACTCACACTACTCTATTGATATCAAAGATGGATCCAATCAAGTATATCTTCGAAAAGCCTTCCTTGTCCGGAAGAATAGCAAGATGGCAGATGATTTTGACTGAGTATGACATCCAGTATACGACCCAAAAGGCAATTAAGGGAAGTGTATTGGCAGATCATT